AATCAATAAATCATGAATTAATTATGAATGATTTTTAAAGCATAAATATGATTTTATGAAATCGAAAAGCTATGAGCTATTTTGTATGTTCCTTCTTATTTAAAATGTAGAAATATAATAGATATTTTTTACTTTTATGTTAGATTGATAGGTTAGTAGGTATTACGTTTAATAATAATATTACGATTAAAAAAAAACGCATTTAAGGTTTTATTATACTGATTTTAACTTGATTTATACAAATTTAATTTATTATCACCGATTTTAATTAAGGATTCAAAGTTTGTAAACAATTGTTAGATAAGTTCCATAAATGTGGACTTTTAAAAAATAATTAGCAATAATTGGCTTGGAGGGAGCATTAAATATTAGGAAGGGATCCCAAGCCTGCCCGGAGACAAATGGAAATAAGTGACTAAGCTAAAAGGGCTGTGTACCAACCGTTTGTGAGGCGAGTCGATAAATTGCCTCATTAATACATTAAGTGTTCCGCTCCCAGCTCTTTAGGGGGAGGGGGAATCATAATGCCCACGGTACTTATTTAACTTTACTTGTTAACATTGTGTGCTTAATATTCTTTGTCGCAGGAAAGATCTTTATCGGGCAGAAAAATAAATGATTTTCTCAATGATTTTTTTTTTAATTTCAAATTTAGTTAAGCAGAAAAAAAATAAAAAGTATGCTTTTGAGAAAATAGCTTAAACCGTTTCTTGTTGGGAAAACCGTTTAACCAGCATCTTTAGATCTAATATTAATTTTTTATTTGTTTCACCTATATTTATTTTTTTATGGTGAAAATGTTTTTTTTCTTTGGTGGGAAAATGTTTCGTGTAAATATATTTTTTATCTACTACTGACTTAGTTTACCATTTTTATCCGATTAGAAATTAAAAATTAAAATGAGGGGCGTAAAAAATTAGTTTGAAACCACCTAGATTTTTTTCAATCAATTTATTTATCAAACATTCATCATCAACAAACATCAAACATGAGCTAATAAAATTATGTTCATTTATATTATAATGTAATAATAATAAAAGCTTTAGAAAAACACGAAGGTTCGATGCTGATAAAAACAATCCCTGTCTTCATTAAAATATTTAATTTATTATTCTCGACAAGCGATCGCTTCGATTAGCCCTGATGAAGGCATGAATTTCGGCTCGAAACGTCAGCAAATGTCAAAATAAATATTATTATTTATTTTAGACATTTTTCGACTGATTACGTCAACCATATTTCTCTTCATTATTCACTACAGTCAACCATCAACCCACAATTATTTAATTTATAAAGTATTAAAACCAGAATGGTCCGGATCGGATTTATACCATTGGGTCAGTTTATATCAAGAAAATAATGGAATAACTATGCACATATATAAATTATATAAAATAAAATTTAGACTTTGTTTAACTCATTTTCATAGATATTTTAATAAATAGTTTTTTAATGTACGTGCTGATCTAGTGTGTGGGCCAAATGTTAAAACCAGCTTTGGAAATGGTGAAATTTTTGAACTGATAATTTTTGAATATCTGATTTAGGTTTTTTCGTAGTCATTAATTCGATCTAAGCTTTTAACTGTTTTACTTAATATTGCATATTGGATTAAATTAATTTATACGCGTTAAATAAACCTGTTATATAATTTACTCTGATGTTATTATACAGGATTATTTCGATTGAAAAAATAGAAAAATAAGAATTTAGGATTAAAGTATCTCCTTAAGGTATGGCTTTTAGTGCGTATTGGTAGTGTCTTTAAAAAAACACAAAAACTAATGAAAATATATCTGTAGATTCTTTCTTTCGGAGTTTATATACTGAAAGGTATTATAAATATGTGACACTTTTTCTATTATTCCGTTATTGTTTACATGGTTATTGTGTGTAGGTTTAATATTTTAGACTAGTTTGGTTTAAGTTTTTGTCAGTCATGGATCGTCCATCTTCTATAAAGCAAGTCTCACATAAAAGTAAATGCAACGCCTGTATGGTCTACTATACTATACAACTAAACGATACTCTAATAATTAAGATGTAAAAATTACGGAGTAATTGGAAGCATTTGAAATAGTAACATCAACTTCAATGCTTATTATAATATATCAGTTGGAAATTATTTTCTGAAATATCTTAGGTTAATAGGAAAAATAAATTGATAACTGTTGCAAGATCAAAGATCGGCAAACGCTGCTTTGATTACCGAGTAACAAGTATTTTACTCATATTGAATCACCATTAGGAATTCAATCACTACTTCAGTTAATCGTTTGACATCAAATGAAGTAGTAATTAAATTCTTTGATATCCAAATAAGATCTGTATTTGAGTAAAATACTTTGTACTCAGTACTCAGAGTAGCATTTGCCCGTCCTAAATCTTGCAGCAAGATTGAAAGTTTCTTAATCAGGAGATTTGCCAACAAAAAAAAAAGTAAAAATATAAAAGGAGAAAATAGAAGAGAGACAAGAAGCTTCTTCAGTCCTTGAAAGATAGGCTAAAGATGAAGTAAAAGATATAAAGGAATAAAAACAAAAGGGGAGCGATTGACTGAAGAGAACAAGAGAAGAGGAAACAAAGTAAACAGTTCTAACAAAAGACCGCAGCCTGGCGAAGGAATGTATTGTGCTCACCTTTTATCCAGGCAACGGCATTCGGAAAGAATTAGATTTTGGCTGACAGTTCGCAATGGAGTCAAGCAATGGATGGAGGGGGCAACTTAGTTGTCATAAACAAATTATGTACAGGGAAGTTCTATAATCAGTTTTAACGAAATAGAAAAATATGTTAGAGCTAAACCAGAATACGTAAGAATCTCTCGTCGAGTTATCAGAAAAATAGGAATGGACTATTTGTTCTAATTTTGACAGTGAACAAAAATAAAACTAAATCATAAGAATATTCTTGTTTGGCTTTTATAGTTTCGGGTAAAATTTTATATGTTCCATGTTTTTATAATTTGCAATTTGTAATCATAAAAAGAAAGAAAAGAAAAGAGATAAAGGAAAGCAAAAGCATAATTAAAAAAATATAGTAAATATTTTTTTAAAAATAGAACGAGGCAATACAACAGCAGAATTAAGATAACTCTATAATTATTAATGATCGAGTCTATAATTTTTTGATGATAATTTAAATTTAAAAAATAAATTTAATTACTATGTATATAATTTTCCCATCATTTTGTAACATCATATATATATATATATATATATATATATATATATATATATATATATATATATATATATATATATATATATATATATAGTAGATCCAGTATACAGTACATATAGATGTTTTTTCAAATATATGGTCCATAATTAGATTTTGTCATACATTTCATAAGAATAAATAATTGTTAATTTTTCTACTCGGTAATATTTCATTACTATATTCTTTTTATTATTATATATTCATCTACATGCGATGTGATTATTGATAAATTTGAAAAATTGATTACACGTATAGTATTTAATATATGAAAATATTCCACTAACCTTGGCTATTAAAAAGGGATTTAAACGTTTATAATATCTCATAAATATAATTGGTAATGATTAAAGTCTTGATTTAAATTCGTAGCTCTGGACCAGCCCAATCATCTGGCGAAGAAAATATTTAGTTGCTGACTGTAATTGAAGAGAAGTAAATAAAAAAATAATAAACGAATAAATTTAAATATATGAAAGTTTTCATTGCTGATAAAATGATTCAATATGTTAACATCTTTATTAACCAGCGATATAGGAATAATATCATATTTCGAATTAAATATTGTATTTTTGCAGTGTTATATTTTTTTCCCACCTCGTACATCATATACATATTTTAAGTAATAAATGTATGTAATGACAAAAATAATGAAATTTGCATACTTAACTTTGTATTTTCCAACTAAGGTCTTATTTCCGTCTGGCTTTTGTTTTATTTTCCTGGTGACTATGAGTATCATATATTAGCCATTTATAATTGATTTTGCATATTTGGGTATTTTTAAGCGTTGTTTCCAATTTTAAAGTAATTTATGTTTATTTTGTGATAAAGAAGATTGTTGTGACATTGTTTGATTAGTAAATATAAATCATTGAATGCCAAACAAAGAATACACTTTATTGAATGCAGTTATATATATAAATGGCTTATTTTTACTCATGATAAAAAAAACAAAAATTAAATAAAATTCTTCTTAAAAATAATTTTTGTTATTGGAATAAGTTGTTATATTCTGTTGTAATACTTGGATTCTATTAAGTATTGTAACAGAGGAACGATATTCTCTTCATTGTCTCACAATATTTCTTTTAATGTCTTGAAGATTTTTAATATAAAATAATTAAAATTTACATAAATTTTCTCCACATCGTCTTCCTAACATTAGCAGTACCAGTCACGAAAATAGACGGCGAATTCTTATTGTTTAGAATTCTTGTCAGAGGTCCCAACCCAATCAATAGTTATTACCTTTGACAAAACTCACTTTCATTCACCATCTTTTTCTCTATTTTTTCATGACAATTATCCGGTAGGCAAGGAGATAGAAATGATATGAGCAGGAAATCCTTATATACCAATAATAACTTATAACTCTACAAGATCTACAACAAAATTTTAGGATTGGCTGAGTTAAAAATGTAGGTATATATTTTTTATTTAATTTAAAAATCTAAATCCAATTCTGTTGCTAAATATTTTAATATTTACATCTGTACTAATACATTCTCAGGAAATAATGAGTAAAATTATTTGAGCATTATTCAGGATGAGTTCCATCTGCTGGACTAAGGGGAGAAGCAAGGCCCATTTTCAGAACTGTACAGCTATTACAGCTTTATTAAAAGTTTTTCGCTTGAAAGCAGGCGCGGGGAGGTAAGGGGGAGAGGAGGATAAAAGAATGAGAAAGAAGAAAAGGATGAGGAAGAAAAAGTCTAGAAGAAATTAGGAGGGAGAGGGTTGGAATAAAGGCCATTGGGAGCACTCGCGGGGCACTTGGATCAACATCGTAAATCTTTGCAATATCCCGCCCTGCCATCGGACCCGCATTTAAATCTACTTGTTAAGGGCCTCTTAAGGGCTAGTCTCCTAGGGACTACATCATATGTTACCCCAACATATGTTCTAACCGTCTCTAATGCCAAGCAGTTTCCCTGATGGATTGCTTTTAACCATGGAGACGTCGGCGATAGGGCTAAACGGGTCATCTAACAGCGGTTTACGCGGAATAAATATAACAAGATTTGTCATATACCATCTTGAGAGCATTAAGTACAGGTTTTGTGTCGGATTAAATAATCCTACAAATTATATTAAGTTGAAATATTTATTTGAACACGTATAATTTCAGATTAGATTAGTTAGATGGGGATGGGGTGGGGCAGCCAAACGTATTGTACACACGCGTTACCTGGCACACAGAATATTAGGTTATAAAATAATTCCGTGTTTGCATCCTTGTGCTAGGGGTGCTTTTTAACTTCGCCCTCACCTCTGACCCGGGAAAACACTATATAGGCAAAAAAAATTATTTTTACACCGTTTATTTGAAAATCTTTTAGGATTATTTTCATCCCTCATTTACTTTGTTAAAAAACCAAATACCGATCGGCTATTGTGATATAATATCACTTCAGGTTCAGACATCCTCCTCCTAAGTGTTTCAGCTGCAAACTGAATTTTTTACAATAAAAAAATATTATTCTCATCTTAATGAACCTTCTGAGCAGAACTTACAGGGATTCATAAATATTCGAATGTATTTTTTTTTTAAAGATAATATATTAAGAAATAAATAAAATTAACAACTGGCGTTGTGATTGCACATGAAGAGTTACACTCACACTCTCTTTTTCTCGTGTAAAATTTAAACAGGATTTTAAAATCTTTAACGTACATAATATGTACAAAAAACAAACATCACAAAGTAATTTTACCACAACCTATTATTCGAAACAAAAACAAACACAATGTACCAAGACCCTCCCCCTCACTGTTCAAAGCCGATACTACGGACTCTTAGTCTCAACATATTTCTTCCCCAATCCCCAAACCCCATCCTAACTAAATTGGATTTGTTTTACCCTCACGCAGAGGATTTAGCCTGCAGTTCATGCATCAAGGGTTTCTTCTATCACAGTATACAATGTAACCGTTTAAATTTCTATAATTATCTCTTTTTGTGTCTATAAGAGTAACAAGTAGTTATGACTTTGAAAAATGTATTCTAAAATAATAATGTTTTTTTTCTTTGAGAATTTAACTGTATCTAGGCCTATTGACTGCCTAATTGTATATGAAATTCTATTTTACTTTCTGAAGGTAGATTTTTTTTTGCATGTTTCAGTGATATAACAGTGGCCTATTTCATAATAAATTACAAAACTAATACTATTAATCTTGTAGTTTGTACTTGGTACTATTTCATTTCATAAAAACAAAGTACACGAATTAAAAGTTGTGAAATTACAATTACAAAATAAGTAAAAAATAAGTAGTGCTGTTATCGCAAGTTCACTTGTGGAACCAAGGATAAATGTACCATGTTCTTGGTAAATATTAACTTATTGTGTGAGAACTAAGAACGAAAAATAATAATAAACATAAAAATAAATTCCAATTGAGACAAATTTATTCTTTTTTGATCCTGTTCGTGGAATATGATAACAGAAACGAAACAACATTTTATAGGTTATTATTTCAAAGTCTTTTTTGTGTTTTAGGAGATGGAGTTTGATAAGCTTAGTGATTAAAATTAAACATTTTCACTTCGATATCGTTAATTTCTTTTTCTATTGCCACTATATTTACTAATGTTTTTGGATCGGGTTCCTTTCCCATTTTGTAATGGAAACGAAGTGGAATAAAAATTATATATTGCATATCACAAAAGTGAAAAAAAACGTCCTTTGGACAGAATTATATTACAACAAAGAGGAAATTGATAAAAAGTAATAGCCGATGATTTGGGAAAAATTATTTCCATATCCCGCATTGCCGTTTAATTAATTAATTAATGTATTCATTTAATTTATTATCAGTTGTAATAATACGGCCATTTTGTTACTTTAAATATGAATATATAACTTTTTTTTAGTATTTATTTTCTCCTTCATTTATTTATTTTAATTGTATCTAGTCTCATTTAAAGTAATTTAAAGAATTTATAATTTTTCTCTTTCCTTCATATGTGGTTTCGTTATTCCGTATGGAAATTGCGTGGCGTCCAATTATCTATGTTATCATTTATCTTATGATTTAGTTAGATTATATGATTGTAGTTATTTATTAATATAATTAACTTTGGTCAATATTATAATTATATTACTGTCCATCATAAGCTTAATTTTATTTCCTTAAATGACATAAAAAAGCAGACAGTTCACCTATAATGACAATTCTGCTTTAGATGTATCTTTTTTTTTGTTTTTTTCTGTTCTTCCCTACCTCGCCTATTAGGCTATACGGGATTTTCCCGGACCAGAGGGTGAGGGCGGGGAATTTAAAATCCCCTCTGGCACCGGGACGCGAACTCGTGATTATATTCATATCATAGAGTCATACATCAGGTTGCCAGGCAACGGCGGTGCAGGGCACACGCGTTAGCCCATTCGGCCACCCCGCCCCCGCTTTAGATGTATAAAAAAAAAAAGATGAATTAAATAATAAATCAATTGTATATAATAAATTTAAACATATCAAAAGATTAATTGATTTTATTCCCCATCCTATGCTTACCACCCTGGTACCAATGCGCTTGTGTTGCAGGTATCAATTTTGTTTTTATATATAATATATTTTTATTATTATTTTTTTTTTAGTTGAGGCTTTGGTAGAAGTTTTAAAATAAACCAAAATTTTTTTTTCTTTTCATAAATGTTAACCTTTTTATCTCCTCTGAGATTAGAGCATTAGTTCTGACGTAAGGTCCTAGATTTTGTTCTGTTATATTATTAGAAAAAGGGAAACAAATAAAAAAAAGGAGGAAATAAAACTGAGAAGTAATAAATTTTCATTGGATCAGCTTTAGGAAGTTATTGCTTAAAACGGTTTTGGTCAAATTTATCTCAAATCTTTTGACAACTGTTTATTTAAGATGCATAAGGCCCACCTAATTCTCCATCCAGGCTTTTAAACGAAGTTGAAAAAAAAAAAGAAGAAGGAAAAGAAATACGGGTGTGGGATTACAGGAGGCTAAAGTAAGATAGAGGATAGCATACTAAAGGGAAAACTTTTTCTGTTAGGGATGGACCATGGGTCAGCTGGGGGTTGCATGCTGACTAAGTAAGGGATTCATTTACTTTACTTTTTTTTTTTGTTCTTTATTTCGAGTTCCAGTTACTGGAGTGGCTAGCCTGAGGTGCTCTTATGATGGTTTATATCTTTAACAGATTTTATTGAGTAGTCGGAGATAATCAAAAGCTGACATGTAAAACTGTCTTAATCGAAATGTTTCACTCAAAATTCAGTAAATATTACATGCAAGGGCAGATCAAAGGTTAAACTTTTTTTTCGGAGGGGAGGGGAGGAGGTGACCATAATATTTGGGAGGAATTATTGCTTTATCTATTGGAGGAATTGTAATTATAATGGATTCGTCTTTTTTTTTTTTTTTTTTGTGGTTACTTTTACCAGTTTCGACTTAAAACTTTTTTGGGATTATAGACAAGTACATTTCTATAAAGCGTTTATCATGAAATTTGTTCGAACCTGGCAGTCCACTTATGTTTCTAAAGATCAGGTGTATTATTTATGGCTGCTTCTTTGTATTATTGGTTCATTTAAGAAGAAAATAAAATCTTAGGTGTTGTAATATTTTGATACTAATATTTTATAAATGTCCATCGTAATAAGAGTTCACAACATTTTATGGTTATGTGAATGTGTTTAGATCCACAAAAAAAAAAAAAAAAATAAACTAATAATAGCTCATATAATAATAAAAATAAATACAATTATATCTTGTTACGACCCCACGTCCATCGAAATGAAGCAGTGTCATATTTCAACATTGTTTTAATTTTTGTATCCCTGACAGTTAGATATGCAGTGCGTTTTATATAGTATATATAAAATAGTAATTTCATCAAATAGATCTAGCAATCTAAAATAGTAAATAGTATCAATCATTAGATGGTTTACGGAGAACTTTTAAAATATATCAATAACTAATAGTAAATTTTATGCATACTATATATATTGTATATAATTTTATATACTATATGTATATAAATGTATACTCATAAATTATTATGAATGTATAAATTGCGCGTTTTTTCTTTTTAGGGACCAATTTTTTTTTTTTAAGTTAACACTTAACTTCACCAAACTTTTGTTTAAGATTAATTGTTTATATAAATATGTAAATATTTTTAACAACTTGTATGTGAACAAGGGATTCGTCTGTGCTGAGCAAGTTTGTATAAATTTTGAGAGAAATATTTTATCACATATTTATTTCTTAATTATATATTTTTATATTTTCTTAGAAAGGGTATGCGAAGCGACTTTATTATAAATACTTAATTTCGCATGTATGTATTCAATATACATGTATGTATGTATATCGACTATAATATATTATTGCTTATTACATTAAAAAAAATTAAAGTTTATTTTTCCTAGTTCTAGGTAAATTATCAGGAAGTTGTTGCTTGAAAGTTTTAAGGTGCTTAAAGTATTGATTAAGTTAGCAGCTTATAAGATAAATCTGATAAGCCTGGCTGCAGATTATCAATGATAATTACATCATACAATTTTCTATTAAATTTAAAGTAAAAGGATTTTACTTTAATTATAAAATGTATTAAATAATTAATTACTTTAAGGCTGATGTGGCGGGGCTGGGATTAGACGGCGAGCTGTGGAGGGAGGTGTATACAACGATTGGTTGCGTCGGCATCGAACTTTCGGGTTCGCCATTGTTTTGATATTATTGTTATAATTGAAACAATAATAGAATGATTTTGTGTTAATAAACTATTTATTTATGCATTATTTAATTAATAGGTAGCTCATTCATAACGTACATTAATCAATTAAATAGTAGTTAGATCGCCAAATACATAAAAGTGTTATTTTTAACAGTTTTTTAAATCCTATAAAAACTTTACAACGGATTACTAACTGACTCAAATGTTTAACTTTTTGTCAACAGTATAAAGTTAGTTAAAAAAATTCAAAGGAACAATTTTAATCTCAAAATCAT